TTCACTTAAGCTTTCTTAGTTTTTAAATAAAGAACAAAAATTTCCATAAAACTGATAAATATTGAAAGACACTGTAAAGTAATATTTTATTATTAAGAAAAAAATAGAACGTTATTATTCTTTTTTTTATTTTAACTCTCATTTTTCACAATTTTTTTTTTTTTTTTTCACTCAATATTCGTACGCTCCAAATTCCAACTGTAGAACATGGACATGCAAAACTAAAAAAAAAAAAAAGAAGAATTAATTTAAAGGATAGTCATATTGGCCAATATTTTTAAAAAGATAAATATGATCCAAATTCACTTACCATCCTGCAAATACCATTCTTTTTTTTCCCATAAACAATATTATAATTTTGAGACACAATTACAGTTAAGTTAATTAGATTGTACAAAAGAAAATTAATAAAACTATTTCCCACAAATGTAGTTTAAATGACTCAATTTTGAGCACACAATTGCCTGATACAATCAGCTGCCAGTTTATCTGTTTGTCTCATTAAGAAATATTACGCGGAAAAATAACGGAATTTTCATTAATGTAAATTAATAATCCATTCTTGAAGTATGCAGAAACCTCAGTTGATATCGTTTAGAGAATTTTATTTTGCTACTCTACAAAACACTTGAATATTCCTTCCTCCCTCAGAATGCTCTTTAGTTCCCAAGGCATTACAGTCGTCTTTACAAATTCCTGTAAAGTAAATTGACATAGGGGCAGCAATTTCATGTAAAGTTCCTACAATTAACCAACCAACCAACACCCACAGACACTCATACATAGAAGTCCACTTCTTCAAGATTATCGCTTGGAAAAACTAAAATAGTGCATTTTTTCTACAAGCAAAAAAATTGACCAGTGGCAAAAACGCCAAATTCAGCCCCAACAAATCAGTTTGCTAGACTGAAGGCATCCTTCTTACAAAGTCAAAATGACTATATGAAGAATAAAATAAAGAAATAAAAAAAAAAAATTTCATTCTTTTGATATAGCTAAAAACACTAAGCTAAAATCTAATCCAATTTTTTGAATAAAACTCCCAATACTCAATCCTCGCTTCTTTTCAATACGCGATTTTACATAAAACAACAAAAATAAACTTTCCTAGAAACTTATGACAAAAAATCTTCTTAGAAATAAGACATCCAAAGTATACAGTTTCCACCCAATCTCAAAGCACGTCAAAGTTTATTCTTCAACTTTTGAAACCACTCCCACACTGTACTCACATGCTTTGAAAAATTACTTCCAGATACTATCAAAGAAATTTTTTAAATGAGCCTAAAACGTTTTGTATCAAAAATGTCAAAACCATTTACAGACGGAAAGCGTTCTCGAAAAAACCTGGATTTCTACGTCACTAAAATGGGATTTTTACTGTTGCGAACAAATTGACAAATATATCTAATTTCTGCAGTATATTTCAAAAAATCTTGGACTGAAGCGAAATTACGACCTGCTGAAGCAAAAAGTACAATTCTGTCACACACTATAGAACAACCCAATAAAAGACTAATTTCTAAAAGTTACCTTTACGAATAACTTCATTTCTCGTGTTTGTCGCTCTCTCGATTCTCTGTTACATAATAAAAATTCCATCAAGTTGAAAACTTATGTGTGTATATAAATGCTTTGCTATAAATAACGAAGTGGACTGCACTAATCAAGTAAAACAGCAACCGTCGTCATTTTGCAAAATTCCATCTTTGCATATCAAATTTCTAAAGTCCTTTCCTTGCTCGCCTTAGGACGCACTCAATTAACCTATTTGCACAGAAACTCCTGAGTTACACCTAACACAATAACAGTCATATAACTTCATTCAGTTTACAGGTAAATGACGACCTTTACACTACAACCGAGAGCAAAATGCTTGAAGAAAATGAAGAATGTACCTTAAAATTGTATATTTGAGAAAAATACAAAAAAGTACTACGATCAAGAGTAGAAGCAGATTATTTATTTGAATAGCACATTGCGAAGATTATTTGTCAATATACGCAGTACTTCCTTGTCTTAAAAAAAATGCTTTTCCGCACTTTTTTACAATTAGCTACTTATATATATTTTCGCATTCAAAATTCAGGTATTTATTACACCATGACATTCACAAATTAACTGCACTGTTGTACGTAAGTGGAGATATTTATAAGAAAAGATAAAATAAAATTCCTTTTCCGACAGAAATATGCAACATAAAAAAGAAACAAAGAGCCCATTTGGAAAAGCGATTGACTTATCACTGCTGTTCAGTTGCAAAAGCTAACTACTACGTTCTTGAGCCTTGAGCAGACTTAAAAATTACAAATCAGTCACAGCCGAGATTTTGTCTAACTACAAATACAAATAAATCAGTAATATGCATATAAAGACAAGAAGGTTTACAATGACTTACTTGTTCACTTGTTTATTCTTTAACCAAGTCATAAGTTTAGTGAATTCGATTACGAATGAGCTGCATTACTGAAGACGAATAAATGACTGAAGTTGAGGATTTTAGATACAAAATTTTAACCAGCCTATTATCGCCATCACTTCTACCCTAGATAGCAATGAATAAACAAATTCATGCTTGAACGGTATCAAAAAACAGGTATATCTAATTATCTGCATTAAAAAAGCAGGTACAGTGTAACTTCGCTTTCCAGAAGTAGTAAGTAGATCGAAGAACAAAAAGGTAGCGAAGAATTATATAAAAAGATCCTGACCATTTGGTTTTCAAGATCGAATGAATTTGGTTTCAGTTTTCAGTTCAACTCGCCATCTTACCAGAATCACAAGCTAACCTAGAAAAGCTGGTACAAAAATTCAGCAAACTTCTGACTCGTCTAGAAAAAAAAAAAACATTCTGTTGAAACTGCCTCCTAGTCTGTTAGCGGACCACATGATATAAGTCGTGTAACTGCGAACTATAAAGTTTCTTCAAGACGGAACGAAAAACAAAAGCGCACCTAGAGCATTATCGTCTTTTCAGAACCATATTTAGAGAACTAAAAAACAATTATCAGTTGTTTAGATTGACCTTCCGTGTTTCTTGACCACTCCACTACTATACTAGCATTTGTTAGCAGTCAGCAGTCAAATCTGGCTTCAAAGTAGTATCTGCCATCCACATTTACTCAGTAACTTCACAAAATTAGGCAAAATTCAGCAGTAGATGTCACTGATCCTCAATTCCTACACAGTGTTCAGTCTGTCAAACATGCAGCGAACTCACATAATTTTTGGATTTTTAAGGTCCTTCCATCCCTTAGCAACTTGTTGCTTTATTCATTAAATACAGGTCCTTTAGACCTCACCAGTAAAACTGCATAATTATCGCTACACGTACTTGATGCAACAAAAATACTTACGTCTGCAAATCTGTCTTAGCTTAAATCTGATACAACAAAATCAAACTATCCACTACCGTCCACTGCTAAACCAGCAAAATTCTGTAACACTATACTGCAGCATCACTGATATTAAAGATTCCACTGCCACGCCCTTTCTAAAGGCCATCACCATTGGTGGGAAATGGTGAGCCTGAAGGAACTTATAAAAATGGCGCTATTTTTTGAATTTTTAAAATGGTTAGTCAAAAACATGAAAATTTCTCCATTTTTGGGTAGTTTTGTGTTGTATGTGGAGACCTTATATTTCTGTATCATTTATTTTTGCTGGGTTTGTTTGGTGCAAATGTAGTAAATCATTATTGGTCCAAGTCTCTTTAAACAGCTTTTTCTCCACAGACTGCTGGAAATGTTCACAGGTTTTCGCTCCGTTAAACGATGTGCATTTGTTTCGACTTTCAAGCGACATTTTTTGCAGCTTCAAATGGCTTCCACACTTATTGACAAGGAAAACTGTCCGGTCAGTGGTATTAGCGGCAAGGATAATTCTGCCAAAGATACTGATTTTTTAATGGTGGTATAATTTCGTTTTTCTAACCGTATTCAATCAAGCAAGGATTCTCTTGGCTTTTTTTTTAAAATATGGTTTTTGTGGATAAACTTTAGAAGGAAGAAGTTTTTTGGGTTTAGGATGCAAAAAAAGCCTTTGTTCTTCGGGTTAAAAGAATGAATGAAAATGCAACTCTTCCAACTTACGGATCTCTACACGCCGCTGGTGCTGACCTTTATAGTTCTGAGGAATGTACGATCCCTGCGAAAGGCAAGTTTTCTGGAGAGCTACGACTCTGAAACTTTTCGATTAGTAATTTGCAAAAGTACTCAATACTCTACTACTCGTACATCCATAGGCCACTCACCAAAAAAAAAGTTACAGGGAAATTTTGTGTCTCTACCAGCATTCAAGTTGCCATACCAAGCGGTTGTTATGGGCGCGTTGCACCAAGATCTGGCCTCGCTGCTAAACATTTTATTGGTGTCGGCGCAGGTGTAATTGACTCAGATTACAGGGGAGAAGTTAAAGTGTTGTTATTTAACTTTGGAGAAGAAGATTACCAAGTTAGTTTTGGCTTTCAAATGGCCTAAAAATTCTAAACAGATCACCTTTGCCTTCTAATATGGCATTTAAAAACCGAATCACGGCACTACTTTTTCCAGGTGAGAAAAGGTGATAGGATTGCACAGTTAATATGTGAACGTTACGAGGGTTGCCAGATCGTTGAGGAGGAAAAATTAACCGCAACTGATCGAGGTGCAGGCGGGTTTGGCTCGACCGGAGTTTGAACAGCAGTCATGAGTACCTTGGCTTTATTTTATTCCTCGCTCACTAATCTCATTTTGGAGGTATTTTTAAATATTGGCTTTAACAAATGCGTTCACTTGGTCATACATGAGTTTAGAAAAGCGCAAAGCCTTGTTCATTTGATATTTTTGTTACTGTATTTACTGATAAGTTTTTCATTACCTAATACCTTGCTGTTCAGTTTTCAGTAAATGTTATACAGTGTATTTGAAACAGTTGTGCGTCTTTTGCTAGATCTGTAAAAACTGGATTATGTTCTGTTCTTTCTCGTGTAAGTGTAGCTCTTGTGGCAGCGGTTGGGAACTCTTATTAGGAGACAGTGGAGAACTTGACATTCTGCATGGACTTGCATGACGTGAATAAGCTAAATTGCCTGGTAAACAATCTCTTCGAGCTTTAGAAAAATTGATAATGGCGGTAAAAATTTGAAACATGAAAAGTAGCATGTACACTGTGATGTAATTATAAAAACCTCAACAATAAACAGCCACAGACTAATCTGCTAGTCTTTTAGTCTAGCTGTGATCTCTGTAACGCGTTTAGATTGTTGGAAGGTCTGCAATTATACCGAGTAGTCTGTGGTGAAACAACGGTGTAATTCTGTTCTTTTATTATTTTCATATTCTTGTTAGACACGCACCGGTTTTAAGAAATGAAGCAAACTTTGTGCGCAACGAAATAATTAGATGGTGTTCCTTCAACAGAAGATGTATTTCTAAAAATGTCCGAACGGTACGTGTCAAAGAGATTTACTGTTGGGGCGTGAAAGACTAGTGTCGCCGAGCAGGGTATGCGTGGCAAAGGCTTTTCGCTGCTTAATTTCCCCGTAAGTCTTTGGAGTTAGTGTTTAAGTGTGCTTTTAGGTGAGTCTGCCATATTTAAGAGCGACCAACAACATGTAAAATAATGAATTTCAAATCACCGAACTTAGGAGTCAATTTTAATAATTTTGTCCCTTTGACGAACTACACGGGAAGGATTTTGGTGTTTTCCAGCCTTTTTTCCAACCTGCTTTCATCAGCAAACACAGCAGGCATAACAGCAAATTCAGTTTACATGGCGATTCATGAATGAGACATTTTGGGTGAATGTCGTACATATGTGGAGGAAGGCTCAGCCACCTTGTACCACCGTAATACGGGAGCAGTGATATATGGTGCCGTAAATGGCAATAACTGGAATAAATAAAGTCGCTACTTCTTTAACTTTTAGCACAAAAAATTGAAAGAAAAATATATAACTAGGAAGAGGACTTGAGACTGAAATTAGTCGGCTGTTGTTGCAGTAGCCCCATATGTTTTACTGTGGTGCAACTACTTTCAACTGCTTCTAAAAACTCAGAAGAGCAGTTCATTAGAGCCTCATATGTTTTATTCTCTTGAAGTCTTTCTTAAAAGCTATCTTTTAACATGGAAATGTTTGCAAATTATTATTTTACGAACATGTATCAAGTCATCTCTATTGACATACCATCTGCTTTCTAATTGTTTTGGTCAACCGTTGTTAGAGACATTGAGAGTGCAAAAGAAATTTACAGGAACTGTCAAACAGTACAGAAATTTTGAATGGAAGCTTGTGTTCTCTAGCGAATGATGCGCAGGACAAAAAGTTTCCTGTTTTATGGAAGTGTTTACAAAGCTGTGACAAGTAGTTTTTATTTTGAACTTGTTTGTTTTCAAAGTTTTTTGGTTGGCTGTAAAGACCAAACAAGGATTTTTTTTTTTTTTTTTTTTTTTTTTTTTTTTTTT